TTTTGCGGAGTAACACGAGTTCACTCAGGATTCTGTGGCTTCATATCTGGAACCCGGAACGGTGCAGCGCCTTTATTCTATGAAAATACGATGTTACTCGCAGTTCCAGAAACTAAATGCATTAATAGGAATGCAGACCCAATCATATTTTAGCCTTATGGGACTTTTGGTTTTGGCGAATTTTGTTTTTGTTGGACATCTCCGTGCATTCCTCTGACAGTGGATTCTTTAACTGAGTGAGCTGAAGGGGTACGTTACTGACCTGATCAATTTAGGTTAATTAGCTGACATCTATCTGAGTAGGAGATATTGGGATGTTCCCTATCTAAAAGTTTTTTAGAAAAACGTCTTTGGACATTTTCAATTTTTAAACGACTGGCTTCATTCATCAAACCAAAGAATGGGCAACAATACTCGAGAATGGGAAGTACAAACATACGAAAGAGCCTTAATTTAATTTCAGGAAGATAGAAATTGTAAGAAATAAAGCCACAAATCTGGGCAGCTTTGGCTGTAATTCTGTCAGCGTGCGGCGAGAGATCAAGATTATTAGTGTAGCTTAAACCTTAATCCTTGATGGTGGTACATTCAGTCATAGGTGTGCCTTGAAAGACCACAGGTTGGGGTAGCCTATCAGGCCCAAAACACATATAACGACAATTAGACGGAGAGAATTCCATTAACCATTTTGAGCTCCAAGCTGAGAGAGCAAGCAAGTCAGCATGGATTTGCTCCAGGCAATGAAGGCTCGTAGATTTATTGAAAGAATATACACATTTGAGATCATCGACATAAATGATTGAGAATGTTTAACTGCTGCTGAAATATCATTTATGTAAAGCAAGAACAAAAGAGGACCTAAAACGGTACCTTGTAGGACACCGCTTACAATAGGACTTTCACTGGAAAGTGAAGATCCCACCAAAACCTTTTGTTTACGATTAGACAGGTATGACCTGAGAAAGTCTATTAGTGGACTGCGAATTCCCATAGCTTCCAATTT